TTACTGCACATAAAATTAAATATGTATATACATCTTTGCAGTATTGACTCCTACATCATTAGTATTTGAACAACTTTTTAATACACTTTGCCTCTTTTTTAGAACAATCTCAAATCACAGCTAACTTCAGATCTTTGAACATGATAATGTAGTATTTGGCCAAATGTTTATGTAAGAAAAATCCTACTAGAAATTTCATTATTTTCTGTTTTGATTTTGTATATACCCTGTGTTTAAACTGAGTATACCCTGTAGAAGACTTTAGTATGGATGTTCTTTCTGCTATCTTCCCTGTTCTAGATCTACTGTTAGTACTAGAAAATCCAGTGAAACAACTACTGGAAACTTTTTTAAAGGAGTTTTACAGGTACTCAGCTTTTGATGAAAAGTCTGTAGAGTGATCATCCAGTCTATATATAGTGTATGAAAAATATTAGTTGTCTTAGATACATAAAATGTTTCATACTGTTTCACTTAATGCTGATAATGGTATCACAAAACTTGTGATATACTTTTAAAAAGTATGATGATTACTTCTCTATAATAAACATTTCTGATATTATTCCTATATATTGCTACACTGGGATACATTGCTATATAAACACTGGGATAAAAATGTAGACACCTTTCATTTGGTAGTGCCTTAACACAGATGATCAGTTCTGGACTGCTGGCAAAAAAAAGTAACTGCTGTTGCTTCAAATATCCTTATAATTTTAGGATATTTGATGCAAGTATGATCATTAATCTTATTTTAAGGGCAGTGTCTTTTTTGCTCTAAGTCTGCCTCTTACTGCATTGTTCTGAATGGTTCATTAATTTGATTTATTCCTTTTTCCTATCCAGTATTTGTCTTCTTCACTTCCAGATTTCCTTTGGTAGCAGGAATAGAATTTGGACTCCATCCATACATAGAACCAGGGCACAGAACTGTAGGAGACTCAGTAGAAAATCAAGGACTGTATCTGCAGGAAAGCAAGGTCTACCAACTTGCCATTACCAAATATTTGGCTAATGTAAGTTGTGTTATATTTATTGTTATTATTTGTGCTTGTGAATCAATACAAATTCTGATTGAATGCTGAATTATGACAATATATTGGATTATAATTTGATAATTTTCCTAATTTTTTCTCCATCAGTTTCTAAATTTAATTTCCTGATACTCCTATGTGTCTTTAATTTGGTAGATATTCCTGTCATCCTGTAGAAGATTAGAAAACTCAAACTTGTTTTTAAAATTCTCTTACTTGTCCTCTAGTAAAGGTTCACACACGCAAATACTATTTTTGTATATTCAAATTAAGTATAGCTATTTGCAGTCACAGTCTCTCTGTCTTATTTGCATGCAAAATGTACATGTTCAATCTGAAAGTTATTTAAAAAGGTAGCTCCAAGCAATTTTAACTCACTTTTCAAACGAATAAAAGAAATTCCTACTAAATAAAACTGAACCATTTTATTCCTAATGCTTCTGGAAATTTACAATTCAAAGTAATTTGAAAGTAGGCTTTAAAATGCGTACATTTACAAAAAGGTCATATATGAGAATGGGACTATTTATTTCTCTCAGAAACTTGTTTTTTATAGTCAACTTTTAATCATCCAGTGCACTGGGAATTTGAATACAGCAAATAAAGATATATAATACAGAAAGCAGAAAATATTTGGGCATCAGTCTATGGGAACTTCACACACATTTTCAGAGTATAGCTGAGAAAAGGCAGAAAAGATCTGTGACAGCTTTTGAGTACTGAACTCACTAATCCACGGAGCTGCTACTTTATGAATATGGTAATAATTCCTCAGATAAAATCTACTTCACAGGCTTTTAACAGTTGATCATCTTGGGGTGATTGCTCCTGCAGGCATGTAGGGATGGGTTCCTGAAAGGAACATGAAAATGAAGAAGGCAGAAAAGACTCTTGAGGAGGTCAAACCTGGTTTCGAAATTCTAGTCTCCTTGTAGTGAGGTGGATTAGACATACAGATAGGCTTTAGATTCAGCACATAGGGCTTTCAAGGGACAAAACCTCTCTGATAATGTTTCCTCTTCACCCTCACAAACAGCCTGTGACAAATTTAATTCTGCAAGATATCGGTCTACTGACACAGCCTAGCACTGTCACCATCTGTCTCATTTTCTTTCTTAGCCTCTCAAAGACATTTTATAAACATCCGTAAACATCTGCAGAGAGTGAAGATTAATTGCTCTATCTCCTGAAGACACCAGGGTCAGAAGTTTTATTGCATCTGGTTTTTCATGATTACAAAACTTGGAATGAATTTAAAATAACTTCAACACAAAAAAATTTTTTTATTGTTATTGGAAGAACCTCTTCAACTTTGATATACATGACATTAAAGTGGTATATGTGGACTTTAAGGCCTGACTTATTTGGGCAGGTCTAAGAAGTCCCAGCTAATACTTTATTCTTTACTTGAAAGAAGTTGTTTCTTTCTGAGCACTGTTTGCTTACAGGAAGGGATTAATGTTTATCTAGGGTATTATTTAGGCAACTGCAATACTAACTTAGAGGTCTTCTTTGTAAGGCAATTTCACCCTTTATTCGTAAACCTTACAGACTGAAATACATCCTTCTTATTTCATACCAATAAACCATGCCTTTGTCTCAAGTTTGACATGCTGAAGGAAAAGCTAAAAAATGGAATTTTCTTACAGGCAGTTTAAGGCAATGAGTAAAATCCTTTCAATCATCCATTAAGTTGGTCTGGTTTAGTCAGATAAAACTTTCAAGAAGTGAGGCATTATTCCTTGTCATCTACATTTTTGCATTAAATAAACAGTTTATGGCACGTTCTAATAATGGCTATCTTGCATCTTGTTTAATTTTTCCTACACCCAAAAGACTGTTTACAAAATCCTGTGTCTCACCTTCCAAACTTGCAATGATGGCTCTTACTTAGAATTTGTTGCATTATTGAAAGGAAATGCAGAATATGGTGCCTGGTTTTAAAACCTACTGTACACTGTACAGAGGGACAGAGAAATCACTTAGTAGTAGAAACAATACCAAGTGTGTTCTAATCTCCTCCAGAATAGGATGGGGAAGTCTACCTGACATTCTGTGATAAGTACCTGTTACATACTTTGGATACAAAGAAGGCTGTGAAAAGTGAAGACAGTTAAAACAATTTTCATAGATCTAAATTACGTAAACCATATGAAAGGTCACATGCTCCTAAGAATGGTTCTGGAAAACACCAAAAAGTCCCCCTCAAAGTCCCCCTCATCAGCTAAAAATTTCTGTTTGTAATTTTTCCCAAGTAATTTATAACTCCATGTCTGTAAATGTTTCAAAACTTCTTTTGGAAGTAGATGACTTTGTTTTGTGAAAGTAAGAAGGAAATCAGGTCAAAACCACATAAAAAAACCTAGAAGCACTATTAGCATTTCACAGTTGGGAGCTCTGAGGAATGTAATGCTAAATTAATTTCTGATAAAAGTAGTTGTCTCAAAGTCCAGTGAAAAACAGAAGTTCCTCATTTTCCTCCTAAACCTCTTCTTTTGCTGTTTTCCCTTAGGTTCGTTGGCTCTTCATCTCTTTATCTATGTACATATGTGTGATTTTTTTCAGCAGAACACAGTCACCTCCCTTGAGCCACTGGCCACACTGCTTTTGATGCAGCCCAGAATACAACTGGCTTTCTGGCTGTAAGTGCACATTGCTGGCTCATGTCCAGCCTCTCATCCACCAGAACCCCCAGTTGTCATGTCTGGCTTCTTATCCATCACAACCCCCAATCCTTCTCCACAGAGCTGCTCTCAATCCATTTATATCACTAATATTTTTCCTTATGACAATTTAAAAGAGAAATATCTCCAGGGTTTTAATCAGATGTATTATTTGATCTACTCTGGTTTTGGTATACTCAGTACTATAATTATAACTTGTTCCTATATACCACATATAAAAAGGCTGAGTAAGCACGTCCCTGAATACTATTGTAATAATTAAATATTACGAGTTTTTAAATAGACAGTGATATTAGCTGCATTTATTTATTTTTTAAGGACCTCACAGGAGGTACTGAAAGCAATCTCATCAAGCTGTTACTGCTTTTTAAATGTTGAAACATTTTTTCTGAGAAGTACACCAAAAATTGTTTTCTAGGAGTTGGATTTATAAAGGATCATGATTAAAACCAGCTTAAGGTATCATATGCAGATCTTGAAGTTTTTCAAGGGAATGGACATTCCAAATAGGGTTTAGCTAGAATTCATTCTATCTAGAAGAAAGAAAATTAGATGCAGGAGAATGGAATTCACAATAGTGACTTGGGGAAACAGCCCCTAGAATGTGAAAGGCATATCCAAGAATAGCATTTTCCTCATTTCTCCTCTCATATACCTCTGACTAAAGTATGTAATTTACAGATTAAATTTATGTGAAACTGGAACTTAGAAACTCCATCTTCTGCACTTAATAATGTATTTAATTTCAGATAGAATTATTGAGGTTGGAAATGACCCTTAAGATCATCAATTCTTATCACAATAGAGAACTTTTCTTTCCCCTGACTACGTATTCATCTAGTGCTTAGATCATTTGCTGTGGACAAGGGAAGTTTTGATTGTAGAAGACATTGTTTAAATCCTTTTTTGGAAGGTGATTTGGCCGCTAAACTACAGAAAAAATTACTGTTACCAGTACATACACCATTATTCATCACAGATACCACTATTCTAAGGGCAGTTAGGTGCCCAGGATCTTTGGGAAGTACAGACCTAATTAACTCCATGTTAACAGTTCTTTCCTTGGAGTAAATGAGAAATATTTGGAGAGATGCAGACACTCAATATGCACGTTATTTAGGCAGCCACTGCCTGTTCTGGCAGTGCATGGGCAGTTTGCATTGTCATCTGACCATGCTGCCTGCCATCTGTATGATTTCCTAAAGCCAAGTGGTACTGCACATAGCCAGCTGGCTCTAGTCCACGTGAGGATTCTGCACCAAAAGGGGGGGAAAGCACAGCAATTTCAGGTGCAGTATGGCTTTTGCAGTGTACAGAGGATGGACTGGTGAGATACTGGATTTTTCTGTAACAGCAGGTTAAAACAAGGGGCTAGTGGGAAGTGTTCATTGATGAGTCAGGTCTTCATCCTTATCTGTTTGGAAGACTCTCTTTTCCAGGACTTGGCATTTTCTCCAAGTCCTTGATTTTATCCTTGCACTGTGACTTGGTTACTGTGCAGTGGTTTGACTTAACTGCTCTGTCTTTCAGGAGGAAACATAAATTAATCACAGTTGTTGCATTTTGAAGATTTTTTAAAATATAACACCATTCGTTATGTTTGAAATATTGTTACCTGGCTTTTGAAAGCTTCCCATTATTAATGTCTAAAAAGTAAGTAATTTCAATACATTTAAAAATGCTATTTTTGTACTTGCCATATGTTACAATTGCAAAGTTTTTCTAATATAATGCTGAATTATGCTTCTAGTGTTTTCAATGAGACAGCTCAACAGTCTTTACAAACGTACTTTTGAACAAAAGAAGTATGACTGCTATGATCACTTTGCTGATCACTAATGATGCTAATAACAGAAACATTTATTGACTCCGGTTTTTGCAGTAACTATTGTACTGTTTTACTTGTGTTTGTTAAAAAGCTTAGATGAGAAATAAAATCATCTTTCTTGCAAGCAAAAAGCCAGAAAAAATGTTTACTAAATCACATTGTGATTTATATTTTGCTGTGTGAAGCACGTTGCTATCTGCACTACTTAAAGCTTTAGACATTTTCTCCTTTTTCTGCTGAGGGTATGCAGCTAAACAGTATGTGGAGACTAGTTGGTTTCCATTCCATTCCAGAAATGTCTTTCCAACCAGTGGGTCACAGACAATCCTGAAAACCTTTTAATGTTAAACTTCCTGTAAAGTACTAAATGCTAAACCAATTCTTTTTTCTTTTTTTTTTTTTTTTTTAAGTCAGTGAAGAATTTACTTGGTATTTACACAAGTCATGCATATAAAATTTGGCTGTCCTTTGATTTAAATTATGGTAATATGATAATTTAGCTGCTGTTGCCAAAAAATGTGTTAACGTGTTCGATTAATGCTGTAATACTTGCATTTAGATATCACCTTGTGCTTGCAAAAGTGCCTCTCACTTGTGAAGCTCCAAGAGCTTTGCACATTGAACATTGTTGTTACTAGACTCTGCATGAAAAATGGAAGTTCTGAACAACTTGTTTTTAGAGATTAAAAATAATGAGATTTTGACCTGTAAATCACTCTGAAAATAAAACACTTCAGAACTAATAGTTAGAGAAGGGTATCTTGATTTATGCTATTGTTATCATTATATTATATTCCTGTCTTAAGCAGAATTAAAGATAAAATACCAGTGGAGCTTGGTAATTTAATACCATTATGTCATTTTTGTAGTTTAGAATCTAAGTCATAATCTACATGACAAATAAAAATAAGGTTGTGCACCTTAATTCCTAGGTGAGTATAACAAAAAACTATCAGACAATTTTGTAGGTCTAGCAATCACAGTTCATGTAAAATTACTGTATATGCATTGGAAAAATCTGTGACCACACAGCTAGTTGTTAACTTTTATATTCATTTAATTCACAGGTCTTAAAATCGGTAAACAGTGGAGTCCAGTTCTATGAGATAGAAACAGATAGGGCTATAAATTGACTGTAACATTAAATTCTTGCAAGCATTCTCTGCTTGATAAGACATAAAAGAAAATTAGTATATTCTTCCTCTCCTGAGCTCTACTTCAAATTATTTTAGAACTAGTTTAACTTCTCACATTTGAAATGCATACATTAGCTATCTAGAGCCATCTGCAAGGCATTCTTAGACGTTCTTATCTAGTATGTTTCTAATTGAAATGTGTTGTCTTTCAGGCACCATCACATACTATGCTATGACTGGTAATGGATTCTAGAATCATGTACCTCCACGAGAATTAATACTGCATGGATTAAGGACAGGCTTCTCGCACTTCAGTTGTAAGTCTAAACAATATTTCTTGGGTAGCAATCTTGTTATATGAAGAGTTGATATACCCAAACCAGGGATTTTTTAAGGTAGATTGGTATTACATAGAATTTTTAAAGTATTATTTTTCAATTTTAATTGTTCAGGATGGTCAGCTGGATTTTTATGTAAATATCTAATATCCTTTATTTTATGCAGGTAATACAGTAAGTCTACATGAGATTTTCCATCTGCTCAATCTGAATTTCATTCTCCAGCTCCGAAACAGTGGAGTACATTACACGGTTAGCATTTTAATACTCATTTTTTAAATGACAGAGTGAAAAGGAATTAAAAGAATTAATTTTTAATGCTTGCATCAGTGTCAAATTACTCACCATGATCCTTTTATTGGTGGCATTTACATTCTCTGCTTCGTCATCTTGTTTGAGGATAAAAGATTACATATGGAGTATTTTCAAGTGATTGCCTGATTACACTTTACTGCTTTAACGGAAATGTAGAAATACTTCAATTGATTGTTGAAAATGTTTGATGGAAAATAAAATAATTATTAACAGGTTAAAATCATATCTACTGAAAAGTCAGGACATAATTACGGGAGTTTTCTAATCCTAAAACCAAAGTGCAAATTTAAATAGGCCATCACTAATACAGTAGCATAATGAAATGTATCACTTGTATAACCTCAATATAGAAATAATGGTAACAATTTTATTTTACTTGTAAATTAGTCTTGAGACATCAGGAGCATGAAGATGATGAAGTCTTTCCAAATTTTAAAATTAGAATGGACAATAAAAAATGTGGCTGAGGGAAGGCAGCATTGCTGTTGAGTACCAGAGAAGTATCTTTAATATTGAGATATAGAATATTTTTTAAACTCAAAAACTACTTGGATAAATGTGCACAGGACACTGACTGCTGCTATGATATTAAAGGAAGTGCTTACAGATATATTTTAAATTTTAAACAATCCTGTGGAGCTTCTTCAGTAGTAACATTTCCATGTATCATGAACAATTCTGAATGAAGCAGCACGTTTTCCTAATCAAGGATTAATGTGTTAAGAGCCCTTAGAAGATCAGATCCAGGCAGAATGAGCCAGGACTTTGAGGGCTTTCATCTTCACAGAGATCATGAACAAACAGATTCATAAACCACTCTTCTGTTCCTGTTCCATTTTTTACCAGTCTTGAGCAGAGCTGAGGGAACAGTCAGCTGCTTTCTAGGCAGTGCTCAGTAAAATAGCCTTGTGCTGTTAACACTTGTCTTGCTTTTACTAAGCCAGGCTGAAAGACATCCATGTAGTACCTGCTACTGCTACCCGGTACTGCTACCCAGTACCTCCCTGGAAGCAGCTGCTTCGCTGTCCTTTGCTTATCTGCTACTTTACACCTTCATAGTTGCTTTCTTGCAAGAACTAACTGTATTCTGGCTCCTGACATTGTTTATACAGGGACCCAGAAATTCCTTAAAAAGATGTTGAGATTTTATTTATATATAGTACAACAAAGTGTTTTTTTCCCTTCTTTGTCATGGGTATATATTTTCCTTTTGTTTATATATGCCACAATTTTCCTTCAAGTCTGTAGAATAACTTAGGTCACAGATTCTTACCTGGGTATAAGTTCAGCCTTTCAGAATGGGGGTATGTCATGCCTTAGCAAAACAACTGATTGAAATGGAAGAGCAGCCCCAAAGGGCAAAAAGAAATGAAAAATAACAGCACATCACCTTGCCTTCTTTGTGTAGAATCCAGCAGTGAAGCAAAATATCTTAAGAAAATGGAATATTTGGGAATCTTTTAATGAAGCAGAAAAAGCTCTGTATAACTCGCAAGGACTTGAATAAGACACTAGTGCAATAGAGGAAAAAAGTGGACCTCAAAATGCCAGGGGAGACTGTATATGTAAAGAGTGTCCTGCATAGCACTCAAAGGGCAAGAAAAACCATTTGATCTCCTATATAACTCTGACTTGATTAGAGCCTTTCCTTTAGAAATGAGCTTTTTTTTTTGAAGTATCAGTCTGCTGACTTATCCTGAAGCATTCCTCTGATCAAATTTGTCATCTTATTCAGTATACCTTCTGCACTGTTCATCAAAGATTAACTTTTTCCTGTAAGATTTGTCTGTAATAAAATAATTTCAATGAAATAGAAATATGGGATTACACATACCTTCAGTCTTCTTTTAGGAACCTTTTTTTAAATAAAAAATCTGTAAAAATATCGAGGTAAAAAAGTGAGATGTCCTAAATTATAGATAACATATTATGGTTAAACTTCCGCAGTATCACAGTAGAAAGTACTTTCAAATAGGATTACATTTTAATGCCTTACCACCAATGTAGAAATATTTCAACCAAATAAAATGTTTGGTGGGAAATGAAATCTATTATTATTATTTTTAACTTATTTTTAACTAGTTAATTTTGATAGTCTTTATTTTCCAGGATTATATCACAGCAACAAAGAAATTCTAACATATTTAAGATTCTGATTGAGTTTATTTTCAGTCATATGGTAATCAAAGGTAAGTAAATATAAAATTTGAACTTGCCTATTTGCCATGAAATTCTGAAAACTCCAGAAATTCAGAATATGTTGTACAGTAATAGAAAATGTTTGTAAGACAAAAATCCAGTTGCAGATATGTATGAGAAACTAGATTTTACAATGATAACTCCCATTGATTCTGGTGGGATCTAGATCACTGCTGAAGTTCATCATAAATAGATATATTTAAGGCTTTGGATCACAACGTTAGAAATCCTTAAGAACCCATCATTTCCTCATGAGGTCACATTAAAAGGAAGATCTCACACTAGGAATTACAAATTGAGGCAGCCAAATTTAGGAGATGTTGTTTGAAAATTTGAGTTCAAACCTTTACCTGTAAAAAATCAGATTTGAGACTTCAAAATTTAAATAATAATGGAAAGTTTAGATATTAAATTCTACATATCTATTTCTGACAGTAAGATGACTCCTATTGGAATAATACAACTAGACTTCCTATGATTCTTTCCTTGGTACTCCTCTGAACTTTACTATCAGAGAACTGCAACAACCACAGATTTCAGTAAGTAGGAAGAAGAATAACCACTTAAAGTTTGAACTGGTTCCCAAAGAGAGATTAGTTGTATCAACTCAAGGTAACAGAGAAAAGAAAATTAGAATGAATTGTTCCAGCTAGAGAATTGCAGATATGTATAGAAAAGAAATGAACATAAATATCAGCCAAATTCTTCCAGCATTGTACTGCCTTTTGTTATTAGGGGAAAACATGATGTTCTACTCAGACATTTCTGTTATATTTACCCATTATTGAAGGATCCACTTATTCTAGTTCCCAGCCTGACAGTTCTTGTGTGATGGTTTCAGAGAATTTTTATATAAGAGATTTTTTTTTTCATTCCCTTAATCATCTTAGTGGTCCTTTGCTGGATTCTCATTAGTAGTTCTGTATCTCTGTTTTACAGGGCAGCCCAGAACCAGACTCAGCACTTCAGGTGTGGCCTCCTCAGTGCTGAGCAGAGCATTAGGATCACCTCCTGTTACTTGGTGGCCACATTCTAATGTACACTCTAATGCAGCTGTCCCTAATGCTGCACAGGACACCACGAGGTGTCTGAACACAAGGGTGGAGTAGGCCTATATTCAATTTCAAGTCTACTGGGAACTTCAGGTTCTTTTCTGTAGAGTTGCTTTCCAGCTAGGTGACCTCCAGCATGTACTGGAGCATGGGGCTGTTCCCAGGTGCAAGACTTTGCACTTCTCTGTGTTGAACAGCATGAGGTTCCTTTTAGTCCATTTGTCCAGACAGTCAAGGTTCCATTGGACAACAGCACAACCCTCTAGTGTATTAACCACTCCTTCCAGTTTTGACCTCCGCAATGGGGTATGCCATGCCCCAAAGGGTATGCCATGCCAAAAGGGTATGCCATGCCGCAAAATCCAGGTGAAGATGATTAACTGGATACAACAGAGTTTTGTTCTCTTGGATACACCACTAGTTACCTGCCTCCAGGTAGACTTTGAGCCACCAATCAAAGCACTCTGAGCTTGACTGTTTGGACAGTTTTAAATCCACATCACTATTACTTTTTGTCTTAGCACTTTTTACTAAAAAAAGGGCATCTCTAAAGAGAGTTTGGTGTCTTGCTCCACATCCAGAGCAATCCACAGCATATCTTATCTCCTTCCTCTCAGCATGTACCTAGGTTTAAGGCTAAACACCAGCAGTTTCTCTTGATGCCCTACCTTTCCTTTCTGTCTATCCGTGACTCCCCTTGTACAAACATAGAATTCCCCAGAGGAGACTGTGCAACTCATAGTTTCAATGTTGTCAGGATTGCCAAGGACAAAAAAAAGCTGAAAACACATCCACAAAAGCAACACTACACATCAAGACAGTTACTTGTCATATGATAGCTGCAATAGCTGTTCTACCTCCCCGACATTCATGTTATCAGCAGTACTTTTCTTTAAAAATGACAAAACAAACCTTAACTCTGGTTCTTCATTCTTTTCCATCTCAGTATCAGTAACTGTGGTAATGTTGTTGTTGACATGTGATTAAAAAATGTAAGGTGTATATGTGGAATGCTGGCAAAAGCTTAACTTGGATATGAGCTTCTGCAGGCAGGTACACAGCTGTGAAAGAATCCATTGTGCTTCACAGCAGCTACTCCCTGCGCAACTATTGTTTGGGATTTTTTTTTTTTAAATTGTCTTGTGAGAGAAACAAGAGGACTGGACCTGTGGCAGATAGGAGAGCTACAAACATACTGACTGCTAGGCAAGAAACACAATACACTTCTGAGTATGCACAAGTTTCTTAGCCTTTAAAAGCCAAACTTAAGTCTTGTCCTGGATTTCTACTGTCTTCAACCATTAACTGGTCTTGACCAAGAACACCAGTGCTGAGTATTCTTCATTATCAGAATCAGTTAAGATCCTTACCTTGTCCCAAAACAATTTCTGACACAAGCTGACTACTTCCTGCAAAGTACTGAATCAAATACAAGGCTGCTAGTATGGATAGAGTTAATAACAGTAGAAAAAAGACAACAAACCTTAACTGCATCCCAAGTAGAAACACAATAAATATCAAACAAGACAATGATTGAAAAAAAAATTATTTCCACCAAACAAAATCTAGTGAAATGACTGCAAAATATTACAAACAACTCAAATTTTATTGCAGACATTTAAATACTGTTGTAGACAAGGAAGGCAAGCTTGCAGATCAGGATGAATTTAACCAGAAAATTGCCTACAAAGGACCTGCTCTTGCTCCCAAAGATATCAACAGCATTTTACAGTAGATTTCAAGGAAAACCAAATTTGAACCATTGAGTTGTGACTGTATTTTTAGTGAAGTATGTATCTCAAAAAACAATAAAGGACAAAACCCCCACCACCTTTTAGGTGTTTTCCTGTGGAGGATGTGTCTCAGAGTTGGAGCAGTCTTCATTATGTACATTTGTAATCTTTTAAAACTAATTATCCCCTGGGGTTAATAACAACCCATATAAAGTAAAACAATATAGCTCAAAACCAGTTTATTGTTTAGGTTTTGAAGAAATGTAAAGTTAAACAGTCAGAAATGCCATGCAAAATTGGGTGTCCTACTAACTTCAGAAAATGTAACCACTCCCAGTCATCAATTCATGCTGAAAATGTACAAAAGGTGCCAATATTAGATTGGATTTTTACTCTTTTGTGTGGTATTTTTCAAATAAAAGCACGATAATGTTATTAAAAATTATGTAACTCTTGTATAATTAGTTAGTGTCACCTATATTACATTTCTTATGTCTCAATATATTTTGGAATGTTTATTGAGGGATATTAGTTAAATAATTTTAAATTACATTATTACTGGAATTTTAGACTATGTAAGCTAAGTTAAAATAATTTTTCATGCCTTTTTTTAATTTTTTTTTTCTGAGTTCAAAAAGTAGAGGCAATTTTGTCTTAACAGGTGAATCCTTATGTCTCTTTGTTGAGATACAAGCAGGAATTTCATAAGTTGAGAGGGGCAAAAAAAATTTGCAGTTAGAATCCCTGTCCTGGCATGGATGATAAAAACGTTTAAACTTATTGATAATATTTGAGCCAACACATCTGCATGTAGCAAAACATGAGCCTATGACTTAAACACCTTACTTTTTAAAAGACTTTCAGCAAATGCTTTACTACAGCCTTAAAGCTTTTAAAACATTATGCTTAACGCCATTAGCCATAGAACCAGTCACCTTTAGGTAGAGACAAAGTAACTGGGTAGACTGCTATTACAAAAACACATTTCTTTCACAACCATGAATACACGGTGGTAGAGAATTTCAATTATTACTTCTCTTTAAATCAGCATATATTAAAAAATATGTCAAAACTTGTGTAGTCAAATCAGTGTAGTTAGACTTGTAATTTTTATTTCTACACATATTCTCAAACAGTTTGTTTTACACAGCATGTAAAAAACCTAAATATCAATAGTTGATTTGCTAGCTTTTCAGAATAAGTGAAAGTTTCTGGTTCTGATCACTTTATAGCCTATAAGAGACTGACCATGCTGCAGCTGCTCCAGTAAAGAAATATAAGCACACACTTGATAAATCTCCGGATTTCATTCTACACATTTGACAGATGGCACCTTTCACAGCACATTTCTTCTTGTTCTCTGCTAGAACAGGGGAGTACACCACCTACTGAAAAACCACAGGTCTCCTACGCAAACCCTGATACTAGAGGGACTACATACCTACACTCACATGCTTTCCTAGATGAAAACTGTGGTTTGCATGGTCATGTCATCAGAAATAAAAAATTCCTTGTACCTTCCTGAAAAGGAAGACCCTGAACTACCTACTGTAGCACCTGATTCCCACATTATTTTTTTAGTATACTTTTTCATAATTCAATAGATTGAATGCCATGCAATAGATGGCTGAACTGGCGGGAGTTTGGTACTGTCACTCAGCAATCCATATACAAAATAACTATAAAGTGCTTTAGAATTGTTTCACATGAAAGGTGCAATTAAATACTGTGTCCTCTTATGTGCTCTCCCTGGAGACATAACCCTCAAATTATTACAGCAGTGTAATAATGATACTGATTTTTTACACTGGGGAATGCTTCTTTTTCCAGTATTTACTTGGGTTAGTATCTCACTGCGTCATAGCCAGGCAGACCTGCTGCTTGCCCTCTGTTAGCTATCTTGCTGGATGCAAACACATTCATCTGGATGTGTAAAAAAAGTACATTGCTATGCTGGGATGGCCCTCTTATAGTGCAGAACTCACGGTTGTTAGTTGATTCCTTTTGATTGCAGTTTGCTGAAAAGGTGAACCGTCAGCACACTGTGCAGTATTATTTTTCACTTTGGTTAAAAGGCTCAAAAAGTCCACAGTAGAATGCTGACAGGTCTATCAGTTGATGAAATTTTCCAGGATTTGGATTATGGCATTGAAATGGCCCTGAAGATATAGTTTTTATATGTATGGTGCAGTGCTGCAGTGCTTATAATCTCCTGTTCCCATAAAATCTGAGTAGAAATGGGAAGCATCTTTATTGCTGTTATGTATCAGAATTCAAGCACCAATAAGTGAGCAAACTATACAGAGTCAAACCCCAAAATGACTCTATGGACCTTATTCTGTTGTAGTACGCAGAACTTCCCCTAAAACCAAATAATACTATTTCTGCAGAGTAATTATTTTATAAATTGGGAGTGAATTCTTTTCCCATCAAAATCAAGGCAGAACTCTCCCTGGACGAAGTGTGATCTGGATTTCACATTATATTTGTAACTAAACTCAAGTACTTTGTCACACATAGCAGAAGTATCAAATAGCCTTACAGCATGCTTGATGCAGTCTGTTACAATTCTGAATGATGAAAACTCAAAATCAAACATTTTGCCTTCTTCAATTTCACTACTGTCACTTTCCTTATACTGTGATTTCTGCAGCCTAGAAGGGGAAAAAGAAATAACAAAGAAAACAGAAAACAATAAATCCTATTATCCAGTTGACTGAATAAATGTAGATTATCACCATGTCCATATCAAATCTCCATCCACAGCTATCATCCTCAAAGTCCATATAGTCCATCCTGTGAGCAGCATGTGGGAAATGCCTCCTCGTTACAGTATCCGAGCATCTTTGAAAATCTGCTGAAAAACACACTAGGAGATAATTATCTTTTTAAAAGCAACCAGATTGACTAGGGGAAAAAAAAGTGAACGCTCTTTCCCTAGTTATGTAAAGGACAAATAGAAGCAGGAAATCTCACACCTCACTGTTAAGTTTGCTTACTTTGTTGGACTCAGAGAAGCTGTCTGTGGAATTGATTTTGTAAGATTTAAAAAAGTAATTCTGTGTTCCTCAAAAAGCAACTCTGTGTTCCATGTCTAGAAAATAGTATGTTTGTTTGTTTGTTTGTATTTGGCATTCTCTGCTACAGTAAAGTAATGCTATCTGCTCATGTTATCCAGATCTATGAACACCTCTCTTGGTGCCTTGTTCCACTGAATTTGACTCAGTGACCTAAAAGTGAAAGGCTCCATATACTGTAATCAATCTATTCTGTAATTAATAATATCTACTCATCTGAATTCTTGAGTAATCAAGATACATGCAGATTTGTACATACATAGTTCAACAGCTGAAACACATTTTCCTATTTCTAGAATTTGAGGATTTTTTTCAAAATAGTCTTCAAAGTAAATTCTGCTTGCTTTAATGTTATGTCCCTATCTGATACATACTAGGTTAAAATTAATTTTTAAATCATTTTTTGTATGCTGATAACACCTTTAGACTATATAGGCAGATGCAAACATAGCCAAGTGGAAGCAAAAATCCTATGACTCCAAAAATGGCCAGAGCGTGGGATCCTACCAAAAAGTTCTTCCTCTTCCTTGCTCCCCTGACTTCTCCTGCTTCTCCTGACGTAGCAAGAGAAGTACTATAGGAGCATAGCTCTTCCAAATGTCAAGACATGAGGTTAAAGAAGTGTCTGTGCAGCTGTGTTAGCAGCTTGTGGCCCAGAAAGAGCCTGGGAGCTCTACTGCAAAGCTAGAAAGTCTGATGAAGAATAAGAAGGGAATGCAGTCGTACTCTGGATTTTTGCTCTCTTTTTCATGTAACTCTCAATTCTTATGATGCATTCTGTGATTCTATAATAAATTCTGATAGGAAAAATGCCTTCAAATGTCTGTATCTCCAGTTAGAGTGGAAATAAGCCATGTTTCTGCATCTGATTTTAGCCATCTGCAGATAAAAACTGAGAGCTGTGAAGTTCCTCAAAACCTCTACAGCAACATGGAGTAGGGGGTTGAATTATGAAACAAAAGACCTGAGGAAGCTTCAAATCACTTCTAATATATTTTTTCATTTTTAAGAAAGAAATCCTATCATACAGTATTTCAGTTTCCAAACAATACAGTCCCCAGATAATTTCTGCACACGCATGTATTTGTGAAAAAATATGTTTTATTTAACTTCCTTGTGCATGCCTGTGTTGCTATACTCTGAAGAAGAACTTCCACTAAAAACACATGAATATGCATGTACAGTGCCAGCAGAGTCTGGCAGACTGTTAGTGGGAATCTGTTACTAGATAACAAAAACAATGTTGTATGCAAATCACACTTTTATATGCACCAAAGCATGCAAACAAAAAAGGATTTTCACCAGAGCATCACTATGCACATCTGTTGGCATGTGTCCCTGCATGTGTCCCTGCCAAAGTTTTTGGCAACTTCTTGTTGAGATACTAGCAAAACACAAAATTAGACTACAAACAATTTAAAACATTGTATAAATTGACTGACCTAATTTTTCTATTACTTAAGAGTATAAGATATGAGATGGAAAATTTTACTCTAAAAAATGTTCCCAAATTAATAATATACAAGCTACAATAACCATTAACATTATAAGTGCTCATGTAAAATTAAATTACATATGAACAAGTGTTTCTTAGGTAATCAGATGCACCAAGGTGCATCACTTTGGCACAGTCTTTTCTTTCTAATTACAAGCTTCCAAAGCAGCAGATAAGATAGAGCTATTGAAAGACTGTGAGAAAAAATGCAAGTACAGACTGACACCTTCCCATGTGTGCCCTTGCAGTAACTGTCAGCTTAGGGCCCTAATGCTTTGGAAGCTGTTTTCAGAACAATGTGTTAAAATGGCATTGATGGGATTTTCTTTTCTTACATATGTCTCTGCATGCTTTAGAACCAGATTTCATATTACCTCCACTTACTGCACTTTGTGTCCCTTGGTAGAGCAAATAAATTGATTTCCTTTCAGGTGAAACTAAACCAGAAGATGAGCTCTAAGAGCTCTGATGTGTTCCAGTAATATGCTTCAACCACTAATGGGCATTTAGCCCTGGGGATTGCAAGTAAGTTGCCCCACATGCAAATGTGGACATCTGACCCCACGTCAATTGTTGTACTCTATCTGTTATGAGTGATATAATTGCTAATGCAAGAATGCCTCTGAGAGACAGTGAACAATCTTTCCTAAAGCATCTTTATGTCATTCATAATTGCACAGATCTCTTGTATCTGTCTTCTGTAATATCCTTCCCAAACAAAAGAACTTTTAAATTTCCTTTGTATGGAACAGCTTTTATACTTCAGGTCATCCTTTCGTCAATATGCTTCAGCCTGCTTTATCCTTCGCTGAGGTGATGTAATCTAAAGTTATATGCAAAACCGGAGATGTGGGATCACCACAAATTTAGACAATGACACAATGCTTTCCATTTTGCTATGATTCTAAAAATTCCTGCTAACCTTTTGACAATGACTGTGCATGGAATGTTTTCAGAAAACTAATCACAGAATTATCCAGATGTCTTTTCTTAAGTGGCAATAGCTAATTTACAGCACATCATAGTGAATATTATGCATTATGGAGATGGAGAGCCTCTGTGGGCAACTGCTCCATCATCTGACTGTCCTCACAGTGAAAGTGTCTTCCTTACTTGCACTCTGAATTTTTCATATCCATTGATTTTCATTCTCCTGCCATGCACCCCTGTGAACAGCTGGCTTGTAATCTTGGTGGCCTCCTTATAGGTATGATAAGGCTGACTGGAGATCATGCCCAAAGCCTACTCTTCTCCAAACTGAACAAGCGAGTTCCATCAGCCTGTCCTTACAAGTCAGATTCTCCAAGCCCCTAAGCATCCTGATGACCCTCTAGGGCAAAACTAGCTAGGCAAAACTGCAGTATTTTAGATGTGTTGTGTTGAGTAGTAGGGGATAAAAGCTTCATCTACTGCTGGTTATACGTCATACTCCTGTTCATAGAGCCCAGGATGCTGTTGGCCTTCTTTGCTGCTGCCATTTCCAGCTCATGTGCTGCTTGCTCTCCATCAGGAGGCTCAGGTCCTTTCAGAGAGCTGCTGCCCAGGCTGTCATTTCTGCAGCTCTCTCTGAATGGCAGCCCTGTGCTGAGTCTGTCAATCTGTCCATGACTTTGCTGTCCTCTGCAGGCCTGATGAAAATGCATTCTGTTGCCTCCATGAGGTCACTGATCAAGAGAACTGTTAGCTGTCAAATTCATATTTACTATCATCAGTGAAGTGAGTAACTTAATATCACTAATAAACTTTATCAGCTGTATATGTATCACTTTCGCAAAACACATATGAATGTTCTGAACTACACAGACTGCTATTGTAATCTGACCCAATTTATCTTGCTACTTGATCTTTCACACTGTAGTTGCCATCTTCTACTTTGGTCTAGTTTTCTTTTTAGGTGCCTGGCAAAACCGTCTTTATCTGCTGAAGCCCCCTGCATTTCTCCAATCTGTCTTATTCTCTCTGAATAGCAACCCCACCACTGAATCTACCAATGTGTTGTCACCTGCAGACCTGATGACAAGATGGAGAAAAAGGCCAAAATTTCCAAGTATTCTGTAATTTTTTAAGGATACAGGTACTTTTACAAATAAGGTATCATCCCAAACTTCTTGCACAAATGCCAGCCTTCTCTCATACACAAATTGAGTGGCATCATATTCCAGTTATGCTAACGTAAAGCTAAATTGCAAGATCTGTGAGTTAAAATAAGTTTGTACTTCCAACAAAGAAAAATCATGTATTGCCGGAGAGGTTTATGAGAGGATAGCACATCTGTGTAAATGCCTGCAGGCATATCCCATTGACTCCTGATCTCACATTCCAAGCTCTTACTCAGTCTCAAGCTCTCCAGCAAACTCAGGTTCCCAGAGCATCCTCTTCCTTTCCCAAACCAAGGCCTCTCAATGCAACCTCTGACCTTCTCAGGTTGAGTTTTAGTTTTTCCTCTCCTCCTACATGAAAAGCTCAAACCTTCCCACTCTCTTACCTCAGTGTTTCAGCTCCATACACCTATTGTTTCAAAAGTCTTTTTTTCTTAAGAGAGAACCAATTCCCAAAATCTTCCTGCCCCAGAATGCACACCAGAACCTCCAGCTTTCCTATGTTAAAACTTCTATCATCACTTTTCAAGGTCTGTTCCATTGCAAAATCATCTTTCAAATCTCCCTTGCTATCCTACCCTAACCCTCCTCTCACTTTCTATCTGCTCTCTTTAAATATTTCTCTGCTCTTGCCCTTCTGATTTTACCCATGGCCTCTCACTGGGTCCCACATCTTATATCCATGTGTGACTTAACTTACATGACAGCCGAAACATCTCTCCATTTCTCTTCCATCCCCAAAATCCAAGTCCTACTTTTTGCTAGTAGCTGTGCTTTAGAAAACCTGTATGTAAAATGTACTTAAGGTGGCCATTATTGACAAAATTCGTAAAGCCACATTAAATGCAAGCATACACATTTTACAATATTTTGCATAACTAAAAATGTCATTCATTTATTAAATGTGAAATATATTTACCAACTGTATGAGAAATTTCAATTACTACTATATCCAGTCCCCCTCACAAATTCAAATAAACAGTAGAACAACTTATGATTTCTCTCTTGGGCTGTTTATTTTCCTGGAAATATAGGAATCAAGAAACAAGAGGACTATGGGAGGGCAGAATGAGCTTGGAAAACATAGTCTGTCATTCTTATCACAAACATAATCATCTGTGATTATTGTATAGTTATCAATACTCACAAATACAAGCAAATTGGCTATCTTAACTGCTAGGATGCAAATTAAGCCAGGAGTAATTAATCCATATGTCACAACGTAAAACTCACTTGACTTCAGAAGACTTGAAGGAATTTTGAAAGCCAACCTGCAAACAGATCTTTTTTTTTAAGTAACTAGGTGAATTATCTGTTTGCTTCTTGTTTCTTCTGCTAAATCACAGCACACTAAGTACCAAATGTTATTTGGTAGGCAGGATATTATATAACAGCTTTTTAAAATGATTTACAGAAAACCCCACTCTTCTGCTTTAAGAACACTTTAGTTCAAATTTTATCCAAGTAAGATGAAATAAAATATACAGATGAAATAAAAACAATAAACAGTAATTGAAATGCACATTCTTGCTTCTTTAACTGCCTTCCCCTTCCCCATGCCTGTTCTGATTTCAATCCTTACAGTCTTGATAACTGATATTAAGGAATGAAGCTGCATGGTCTCTATGTGAGCTCATGTCATGGTTCTAAATGCAGAGTTTGCATATATTCTAGACCATAAAATATCTTCCTTTAATTTATAAGGTAAGTTTTGTACATCTATATTGATAATACACAAAGTACATTTAATGTAATTTTCATAATTTGCCTTTAAGATGGGGAGTTGTAATCATTTTAGTTCACATTTACATGTATATAAACTGTATCTTAACAGTGAATTTAACTTGTGGACAACTTCTCTCCTTGCCATGACTGCACAGACAATGAAAACCAGGGAATCTCAGACAGCAACTTGAGGTATTTAACTTTCTGTGGCATGTGCACCAAGATTCTATGAGAAAAGTTAATTTTAAAAAGTATTCAGAATATTCTGAATCTATAAATTTTCTTATTGTTTTTTAATCTATTTTCTGTTTCTCTTCCACTGTCTCTTCATCTAATCTCTTACTCATCATGTTCTTGAACTTCTCATTATCAACATTATTTGTCCCTCTTCTGCTGTTCCTTCTGAACATTTCTAAGAATCATGTTGCAGGTTTATGTTTCCTTTACGTTTGTCATCTTCCCACATAACCAAATAATACATTTCAGTTGCCAGTAACCCTTGGTAAGTTATCATCACAAAAACCTATACCCTTTTGTATCAAATTGCTGTAATAGCATCACCTACCTCTAGTTTCATTCTTTCCTACAACTCCTCTCTAATTACGTATATTCCTTTAGGCTCCATTTTTATAGACTGCTACTACACAATATATAAATGTTGTGGTCTGATCTGGCTTCTGCCTCTCCTGGCAGTCTTTGCCCACATTCTCCACCAAAAAATGTTGTGGGTTTGTTTTGGGTCAATTTTTCTCACCCCCACACAATTGCTATTAGTTGAGAGAAGGTTTATGCAGACAAAAGAGAAGTAGTCTCTTTTCCATTTCTGGAGCTACAGGTCTGTTAAATAATTTTGCAGCACTTGAAAGTTCCCCTTCTATTATCTTGAGGATGACAGCTCCCATTCGTCGCAGCTGGAACTGTCTTCCTCTCTTCCTCTTCTGTGTCAACCTCAGGACTGGGCCTATCCCCTCCTGGGCTAAGACCAGAGGCTGGGGGTTACCCAGGCCCTGTGGGGTCTTCTGTGGACTGCAAGGGGACACTTGCCTATCATGGTTTTCCCACATATAAAAGGGGTAATGGCTTTTGAGACCACTCCTGTTTCTTGTGGGTCCCTCCTCATGAGAGACAGTCCTTGGCGGACCTCTCTAGCGTGAGTCCACCTTTGGGCAACAGTTCTTCCATTCTCTGATGTCCCTTGGGGACATGGATCCCTCACTGGGATCACAAGATCCTACTTAAGCCAACTTACTCCAGCGTAGGTCTCTCCATGGGCCACAGGTCTCCAGCAGGACTCTCTTTCATCTTAGGCCTCCCATGGAGTCATGTCTTCTTCATGCACTCCTCTGCTTTGGCGTGGGCTCCTTCATGAGCTGCAGAGCAGGGTCTTTGCTCTCCAACAGTCTTCTACAGGTGGCAGGGATTTTTAGTTTTCAATCTCTTCCCTGCTGAAGGGAGAGAAAGAGAGAGAAGGGGAGAGAAGGAGTTCCCCCTCTTTCAGGCTTCTCTCTCTCCTGTGGCTGCCACCTTTGACCTTGGAGGTTGGTTATCTCTGCCTGGAATTCCTTCTGCAGTATTTCCAGTCTTCCTTTAGAGTTTTTCCTCCACTCAGTTAAATGTCTTGGTCAGGGGGCCTGCAGTCCCACACCTGCTCCTGGCCCAGGGCTGGGGAAGGAGGGAGGCCTGGCCCCAGTCTGGGCCTGCCTCTCTCCCTACATGGCTCCTAATTTCTTCTGCGCAACAACCTTCTCTTCCATTTTCTTAAATATGTAATTGGCAGAGGTGTTACTAAAATTTTTGATTGGCTTCTTCTCCTGAAATTTCCCTGGAAAAAACTATTTTCAGCCCTGGGGGGGCTGGTTGACAAACCCACAACAATAGAGAAGCTAAAGCTATTGATATTTACAGATAGATGTAATATAATAGCTAAAGATGACTGAGTAAATATAAAACAGCATTAAAAAGCACCTTGTACTGATTCTTGTCTCTAGTGTGAATGCTACTTGGCAAACTGCTTAATTCCCTCTGGATGCTTATTTCTTGACCTGCATGATTGCTATATTTTGTCAAACTTAATTTAATACTAATGATGACTTAAAAACTTTACAGAGTTTGGTTATAAACTGCTGCTACAACCCTTTCACCGCCTAAGGCTTTAATGTTTTAAGCCAATTTTAGTGCAATACCATGCATAAGTATACAGTAACACAAATAATTTCTTTAAAATAAATTCATGAATTTACCGTACTTATCTTAAGACAGGGACACTGTGACAACAACAGTCAGAGGGAATACCCAAGACAGGCATGCCAGGGCCTCACCATAGCCCTTTGTAAGACAAGGATGTGTATATCCACACAAAATATTCAGTTAATTTGCAAATCTGGCAACAGTTTCTCCAGAGAAACTGCTGAATGACCTATCTTCGAGCCATACCATTGTTTTTGAACAAAGTAATGTTCAGCTTTTGTTAATACCAATGCCCAAAATTCTTATTTGTGATCTGAGCAAACAAAAGAAAAATTAATTCCTTCAGAGAATGAAAAATACAAAGCACAAGACTGTTTCTTGAGAAAGCTGACACAGTTTTACTGAACTGAAAGTTTTCTGATACTGACAGTACTTAACCAGTTTTTAGGAACTTAACCAAGGTTACAGAAAGTGCTGTCTAAAAACCTTCATAGATGTTCAACAGAAAATGAAACATAAATTTTAACAAACCAGAGTTACAAAAAAAGTTAACAAGAAAGAAGCTATTTGAAATAAAAAAATAAAATTTTGAACAGTTAAAAAATACTTCCTTTAATCCTTGATTAGTTATGTAATGGTTGTTATCTCTGATTTTTTTCTGTTACCATTTCAAACATTCATCTTTATCTACTCAGCTGTGATATTCACAAAAGGTCTCCTGAATTTACTTTGCTGTTTGTTCATCTGTTGGTTCTTTGAGAAGGTATGTTCAATTTGACTCTGATTTAATAAAAATATGATCTCCTTTTCTTGCTTATTCTCACACATCACCTTGAGTGCTTTTGAGCTTCTTCTTTTGACCTTCATCCAGTTAAAATTTCAGCTTTGGTTTTCAGTTTTAGGGGTCTCCAGAACTCTGCACTGACCAAAAAAAGTTGCTTAACTTTTTATAATTATGCTATGCAAGTACCATATTCCTCCAGAAATCCTGGCAGGTTTCTGCCCAGTAAATGCTCCAGGATCAAACTGAACTTGTGTTCATGTCCAAATTTGGAATGGCACAGAGCTATACGTGTCACTTGTACAGATCTGTGAAATAGAAATCACGTGCATGTTAGGTAGCAGAAACACTGTCCTACTTTCTTTTCAATCAACTCATTGACAGTGATGAAGTTAACCAACACTTCTACAATCTACAATCAGTCAAAAATTCTTCATTATTCTTATAGTAAACAGGATTCCTATGAGACATCAGATCAAAGGACTGAACAGGCAAACTTAACTTTCAAGTTAAGATGTGTTTACATTGGCAGAGTTGAGATTCTTTAAGGGCTAGTTCAGTACAAACTGCTCTTCTAGGCAGTTCATTTCAGTGCTGAGTGGATCTGGGGAATGTGCTGGTGAAGAATGTCACACATAAACTTTATTAAACATAATAGTTCACAGCTAATTAAGAATATAACCATTTTTACTACTCGTTGCTCAGTGACCACGATCTATCTTTTTGCCATGCTGTTTGGCACAGCAGGCAAGGATCATTCCCCACTTCCACTAAAACTCATAAAAAGACACTTGCTAATTCCCACAAGTGATGAGGACAGAAGGCATCTTTACTTCTACTTCTTCACAGAGACTAACCATAACCTGAATTAACCACAGGAGAATTTTATGCAAAACATAAAAAATTAGGACCAAGAGATATTTTATGCTCTAAACAAATTCTGTGATGAAACTACCATTTCAAAAAGCTGGTTTAAGTAGGATTATGTATGGTTCTCAATTGTCTTTAGAGAGCAAATAGTAATATTGTTGTGATCTTAAAAATGTAATAAAGTCTTCTTATAATGCCTAAATAAAATTGTAATTGAAGACACCACTGTAATCAAATTGTAGGACATCTCATAAGAACAGGCATAGCGAATAGACTAAAGGTCTTCCTACCTGTCATTCTTTCTCTGATAAGTCAAATTAAGAGGAACTAGTGAATGGCGATGAAAAAATAAGAACAGGGCAAGTATATTGAAATACTTTTCCCTCTTAGTCTCAGGGACTTGCAGTTCCAGGATCTCTGCAGACAAATGTGGTATCTTTGAGTTTAGTACACTTTAATACATTTTTCTTCCAAGAATCTGTCATTACTTAAATCCATGCTTTGGGGTAATGATAATTTTATTTAATGCTCTCTAGTTCTTTTATTATGGGACAGTGAATAACAGCAGCCCATACAGTTGTGTCATGCCTTTCATGATTTCAATTACTGCAATCATCCTCCCTCTTTAGTAATCTCTTGCTCTGTGTGAAGCGTTCTAGTGTATTTACATATTCCTCATCAGGAAACAATTTAAAACTGACTTTCTCATTTATCTTCTCTGTACCCTTCCAGGTAACTATCTCATTTTGTGATGAAAGAAAAACAATGTAAACATTGCTGAAGATCACTTGGTACCAAGACAATCTTCTGCCACTGCTTACAGCTGGTTTTTTTATTTTTATTTTTATTATCCTAAATATTTCAGTACTGTTAGCATGTTATTACCTCCCTATCTTGTAAAAAATATGCTGGATAGTACAGACTGTAATATAGACCCACATAGGACCCATAAAATGTCCCTCCAGAGAGAAAAATTAATATTAATTTCCATTCTCTGTTTGGTATCTTCTAATGCTATGTTTTTTCAAGTATCTTTAGAGAAAGACTTTCTTAAAAGACTTTAGGAATTTGTAAGTTGTAGAGTCAAAAACACAATACTTCTAAGTCTCCTACAAGTTCACTTGTGTCCCTTGGGTACAGCTGTTGGACCATGGTTGCATAAGAGGTCCAAGATGTTCTTAGTTTGTCTTACTGACCAGTATGAACACTTGGTTCCCTAAGCAGAATTAAAGATGCCAATCTGATATCCATTCAGAGACATGTCAAGAAATGTACAGGGAAAGGCTATAGTATGTTTTTTTGCCATGGCCATTCTATCATAAATCCTTGGTGTTGCATAATTACAGCTATCAGTATCCCTGGTACAGCAGTCTTACAATATCACAGCTTAATGGAAACAAGCAATCCTGATGACATGTACAGATTAGCTAGAATTTGATTCCCTTCAGTGCACTTCACCAGAGACTTCAATAGAGACAAAAAGGCAACCATCATTTCTGAGTAGTAAATTACTCTCCTACACAGGTTAGTGCTTCAGAACTGGAAAAAGCTTATGGAACATCCTTTTCCAATGAGAGTGTGACTCTGAAGAAGTCTCTAAAGAACAACCTCTGCAAAACAGCTTAAAATATAAACAAGGCTATTGATCCTTACCCAGTGTTTTGTACTAGCATATTTGGAAAATAGCAGGCACTGACCTTTGTACCTTAAAGTTGCCTTTCCATTTCATTTTCATTTCCTTTCAGATTGACTTCTGCTTGATGAGATGCAGAAGGAAAGGCACAAATGCTAGTTAGAGCTCAGCTGTTCCATGGGACCCAAGGGAGACCTTGGAATCAAGAAATCAGTCTTGCATTTTTTACCAGTTGGAGCCAAAAGGACTTGTAGGCAAGGAAAATGGGTGCAAAAGTTAGGGTCCAAGTGCTGACAAATCAGAAAAATGACAAAGTTGCCATCAGTGCAGCTGACCTAAGAAACACTCAACCAGCAGTGCTTTTTATTAAGTCCCTAAACAAGTGAGATCAATAAAGAACCTGCACAGATTTCATTGTATGCAACACTGGGGGAAATGTTTTCTAGATTAATATGTAAAAAAAGAAGGCAGAAATAATTATTCTATTTTTAAATAGGCTTTCAATTTAATCCTATATTTTAAGTAAAAGTTTTAGCAACAGTAAGAATTGGAAGGAATTTCCTATTAGCCTAGGAATAATTATAACTTTAAATATTCACCAATGGCTATAACTCAGAGGTTTCATAAGCCCTGTCTCCCATTCTGAAAACCTCACTATTTACTTATCTTGTGCCATATCTACAATCTTCCTCTATATGCAGGTAGCCAGCACCCTTCTAGAACATGACCATTACTAGCTTGACTACTGTATCCTGTATCTCTTCAATGTGTTTCTATCTCAGATTTATGATAAAGCTTTTGAAATAACACCTTTAGGCCCACTGTACTAGTTGTCTCAGTAATTTTTAATTTCTATACTCAACTACATCAAAGTCACTCTCAAGTACTGTATTTTCAACTTAAATTATCTTAATCCCTTCTTTCAGTTCACATTTCTGATATTGAATTACCCTTGGAGACTTACCCTTTGTCTGTGAACTTGCTGTGACTGTACAGTGCTGAAAGAATGCAACTCCACTTAATGGCATATAAAGACCCCACATATGATGTTATTACACTATGAATATATGACAACAGGATCCATCTGAGTGTATTTGATATTTAATTTTCCAATTCAAACTAAACTATTTATCTATCTTAAAATCTATTCAAGGAAACCATTACTTGAAATATTATTTCTATTGTACAATTATGTTTTCCTAAAGTTACCAGTAAACAAAAGAGTAACTAATATAATATTGTTTTTTATCTCATATGAAACAGAAGATGTTTTAGAAGAATACCTAAAATTAGGTTAATTTTCACATGTATTAAAACTCTGAATGGTAAGAGAATATATGCTTTCATTTTTGAATAGCATATTCATTTTATCATTAACCTAACCTTGACCTATACTTGACCAAATAGAGCATGCCAAATATACAGAGCAATGCCATAAGTGATATTCATGAAAAAAAAAAAAAAGAAGGGAATTCTGTTAATGATTTTAACTGGAAAAAAAACCAGTGCAGTATAAGGACAAAGTATTCTGAAACAATGTTCATCAGCTTGAAAGGCCAAAAGTGCTCCAGTGCTGAGGTTTCTTACTATAGGTATAAGAATTCAAAAGCAATGGTTGTTCATGTTTTTTATTAGTTAAAAGATAATTTTACATTCCTCGAGGAAAATTTCACGTGAAAGGAGACAATGTATAGATTACCAAATATATTTGGCTCAGTGAATCAGTTCAGGAAAAAATGTAAGGAAAAAGAAAAGATGTTTGATTTAATCTAGCAGTCCTAGGATGTTCAGGAAGCCTAAATTAGTTAAACTGATAAATCTTGTATATAATCAAGACTTCTCAAGAGCTATCTTTCTCTACTCACATCCCAATCCAATCTGAAGTCTGATTTTATCAAGCACCCCTAATGAGTGATTTACTGTTCAAATTTACCATTTTTATGTCTGGAGTATTAAAATGTTATTGTGGATGAAGTTTTGTCACATGGGAAACTGGAATCATACAAAGTTTGAAAAGAGCTGCTAGATTATCAGTGAAGAGTGAACCTGCTGCATATGAAGTATAAGAGTATACATTTATAACAGGGTTACAGAATTTCTTCTTTGACAATGCAGTGTATAGAGAAATTTATTTTCACATTCAAACCTACATTTTTTCATTGTTTTCTAAGGACTGTAATCTTATCCCTTTTCACCCCAGTCACTACTCATGTACTCCCTCTATTCCTCTTCCCATTCTTTATATTTTGACTTCTGCCTTCTGATATATTATTCGGCTGTTACCTTCTTAATCAAAAGAAGAATAATCTAAGTACCCTCTTTATCCCTTCCGCTCTTGGTGATATTAGAGTTTGCATTTGTATGATGGTTTTGGACTAGGCCTTCCTGGCAACCAGCTCGTAACCAAGGAAGTGGCCATGTTCCCAGTATTCCATATGATTTTTATGTAAACAAGAGTATATATACAGTGAGGTTCAGGAGCAGTGGGTCCTTGCTTTGGTCTCGCTTATCTGGAGGCTGAGGCCTGCAGCGACTGCTGGTCTGCCACGCGGGGGTTTGGAGAGTGCTGGCTGTGTTTGGCAATCTTGTTTCTCTGAGGGATGTGGTGAGATTTGCTTTGCTAGTTAGTTATTTTGCTGGTTCTTGGGTTTGATTGTGCATATCTATTCTGTGTCCCTTTTTGTCCCTTTTTCCCCTTTCCCTTTCCCTTTGGTGGGGGGGGGGATGTTTGGGTTTCCTTTGCTGTGTATGTAGCATTTTAATTGTATATAACTGTAATATATGTAAAATATATATATTTTTATATAACTAGATTGATTTGGGGGCCTTCAATTTTTATATTTTTTTTTCCTTTGCCCTAAGACAAGAAGGGAGGAGGAAGGGGTTGTTACTGTGAGTTCGGGCATTTGGCAGGGAGTCAAGTCCAAACCATCACAATTTATGATGGAATTTAATATGGTGTCAGAAGACCTTTGCTGCGACCATTCTCAGTCTTTTATGCCTGTAAAATCCCTGAGAGCCTCCTAAGGCAGTGAACACAAGCAAAGAAAACCAAATAGGGAACTTTAGATGTTGGCAAGCACAATTTAGATGCAGGCCCCAAAAATCAGTCCAGGAAGAAAATATTATATCTTTGCATTTTGAACTGACACAAACTTGCAGGAGCTTTTATTCAAATAAAAAAAAGTCAGAAGAGACAGACATGGCAGCAACACGTTTTTAAGAATGCAAAGACAAAGTTTCAGAAAGCTATGTTTTCTATTAACTAGATCTAATCATGATCCCATTCAGTGTGGGACTTTTAGTCTACTGTTTGGAGACAGATAATTCCATAATTTGGAATTACTTTTGTAGAACAACATGACAAATGTCACATAGCACAACACTGAAACTGTATGAGCTCTCCACATCTTCTTTTTATTTTTAATTATTTACTCTTTGTAAAATGCTCAGCATTGTCACTTTTCATATTTATGAAAGCCATAATTCATCTAACACTATGGAACATATAGGAACTATGTCACATACATAATATATATTACAATAAACCAATAAGTTCAGCACCAACACAAATACTCATCTTATTTTGTTCTCCAAGAGCCTTCTTTCTGAGTAATACCGAAGATCACTTGTCTCATACTTCTCAAGTCTGCTCTTTTTTAACTAGCCAGGAGCACTTCTTGTTATTTTCAGTGTCAAATCATGACCTTGCATGGCACAGTTTTATAAGTGGAGTATCACAGCTTATTAGATTTCAATTTTACAAAGACTCATAAGAAATACAAGTCCTGTTTTACTTTTTCCACATACTTTTAGAAGCAATCTACACTGTTCTTAGGGGGGCCAAGATGGCAGGAAGGTGGCCATGCTCTCGGTGCACTCTTGCAGCTGGGTGGTGGGTGGTGGGGGACCCGCTCCTGCTCCTGTGGCTTGTCACTGCACTGCATGCATGGGAGGCGCTGCCGCGCCGATCTGTGCAGTCGACCTCGTGGAGAAGCCGTCGGGAGCTGTGTTTCGACATCGGAGCGGTGGAGCAGTTGGCGAATGGCCGGTGGCAATGCAGAGGGGCAGCCGGGCTTGGGGCTGGGCTGGGTTGGGTCTGGCTGGGTTGGGTGGGAGCCGGGAGGGGGCTGGACAGACCTGGGGGTTCCCCGGGCCTTGTTTAGGGGGCCTCAGGTGGACAGTGCAAGGGGGGCTTGCAGTGGCACGGTGTGTGGTGAGGTTTGGGGTGGGTAGTGGATTTCTCTGGGGCTTGGAGGGTTTGGGCGGGGCAGGGGCTGTGGAGGGTGCCCAAGCCTTGGGTGCATGTGGGGACCCCTTACACATGTGCCCACCCTGCCCAGGGGTGTGCAGGGATCGCTCCTCTTCGAGCATTGTTGCAGTGGGGGTGGGATGTGATGGGCTTGGCTTGCCTGTGGCTTCTGCCCAGGAATGTGGTTTCGTTTGTGTGTGATGGTGTTTTTTTTTTTTTTTTTTTTTTTTTTTTTTTTTTTTTTTGTTTGGTTGGTTTTTTTTTTTTTTTTTTATTATTATAGTGTCTTGGAGGGATGTTCAGGGCAAGGAAATGTCCCTGGGTTAAACTGTAGGAAGCTGTGGAGGAAAAGTAGGGAGAGAAGGGCTTGTCCAAACTATTTCAGTATGCCCTTATGAGGTTGTGAGCAGTGCTGGCGGTGGCATATGCCTCCGGTAGGGCCTCCCATGCCAGACAGGTCAAAACTGAAGGGTCAGATCAAATGTATCCATGGGCAGGTGGTCATCCTAGGAGAAGGACAACTCTAATTTCAAACCCAGGTAGATGGAGCTCGCTTAGCCCTGTAAGGCCATCCATCCAAGAGAAGGATACTCTAATTAAACCTATATCCTGAGGACCTCACTGTCACTGTCCAAGCTTTCTAGGCCCTGGCAGATGAACCTCAGGAGTAAAGGGTGGGACCAGTTCTGCGCAAGTTGAGCCTCACCTAAAAAATCCACTCCACAGGCTCGAAGGTTATACCCACACTTGTAAAGTCCTGCAGCGACAGGTGAGGGAAGAAACAGCAGGTGATAAGGTGTACTGGAAGCTGCAGTCCTAACCCTGCATGCAAACGGTTCAGGACATTGGTTGCCTGAATCTGACCCCATAGATGACAGACTCATTCGGTAGCATCCTGAACAACCAGGCAGCCTTTTTCAAGGAGAGCACTGCTTGCTCCACATGGAGAGGGGCCTAGAAAAGGTGACCCAACCAAAGCTCATCTCCACCCTTCACCGGGTTGGTTAACCACGGCCAACGGGCATCTTCCATTGGGGTGAAATAAAGATTAAGAGTCAAAGGCATATACCTGCCTTCAAAGGTGTATTCAAAGTAACACTTACATGCTGGAACATCAGACCAATGCTTGATGCTGTGAACAGTGGACGTCCTGAGTGCTGCTCTGCTCTAACTGCTCACGAACTGTCATGACTCAACATCAACGTTGCTGCTTGTCATGGTTTAGCTGGTTCTTGGAAACCAGGCAGGAATTTTTTCCCTTCCCCTGCCCATGGTGTGCAGAGCTATCAAGTGAGCTTAAGAGATACAAAACAACTGGTCCAGCTGGCTAATTGCTCAGAAATTAGTCTCCTGTTGGTGTGCTGGCTGTGGCTGGAACACAGCTCGGAGTGGAAGCTCAGGGGTTCACGTGGCTCTTGACCTGCTTGACAGTGACAGATCCTGTTTGGATTCTTTATCAGAGAGGATCTGATTTTTGTGGTTTTTTTGGGTTTTTTTTTTTTTTTTTTTTTTTTTTTTTTTTTTTTTTTTTTAATCCTGGAGGGTTTTTTCCCCTTTCACCATTCCCGTTTGTTTTCTTTCCCTGGCAGTGGTCCTTGTGCACAGCAGGGGGAGAGAGAGGACTGTGTTGCATGATTTCAACCAACCGAACAGCATGAGTCTCGTTTTTTTCATTGGGAGGACTTTATTTTTGTTGTTGTTTCCCTTCCCCCTCTCCTTCTCCCCTTTCACAGGGTGTGGGAAGGGAAGGGAAAACCAGGGTTTTTTTTTATTTCTCGGACACACCCCGGAGGGTGTTCTTCACCACCCCCCACCACATACACGTGGTAGCAACCAGTGACCCAACAGTGCCACCTGGTGACTGGCGGAGGACATTACAAGCTCTGTATCTCCAGTGACCCAACGGTGCCCCCTGTTATCTGTGGTTGGAATTGCACCAAAGAGCAAAAACTGAACTGTTTACCTGTTTTTTTTCTTTGCTTGTTTACTGGTTTGTTTTGAAGGGGATTATCTGTGGGTATAGGAGTATTGTTTGGTTGTTTTACTTGTTTTTTCCTTTGTTGTTTCTGCCAATAATTCATACCTTTTAATAAAGGGCTGTTATTTTTCCTTTTCCATAATTTGTTTTTCCTTCAATCAGAGCCTCTTAATTTTGGATTTATAATTGCTTAGAGGGAGGAGTTTGGGTCTTATAACTTATCCTCAGCAAAGCACCTATGTCTCATTTAAACTGGGACATGGCTCTCAGTGAAGTTCATCTCCATGAGGAAGGCTGCCTTGGAGAATATGGTGCCGGTTATCCACTCTGCTGGTCAGGTAAACCCAGAACTGAAAGGCATCTCTCAGGAGTTGACTTCATGATCAAAAACTTTATTGCCTCTAAGCTTGAAAATCTGCTGACTGGTCATTCTGATCGTATTATCTCCCTATGCCTCCCACTACACAACAAGCAACATGTTGTTCATTTTGGTATATATGCCCCAACCCTCCAAGCTAACCCTGCCGAAAAAGATAAATTCTACACCAACCTACGCCACCTTATCCAAAAGGTTCCTGCAGATAATAAGATCATTATCCTTGGTGATTTCAATGTCAGAGTAGGAAAGAACTCTGAAGCCTGGAAAGGAGTACTGGGCAAGCATGGTGTTGGGAACTGCAATAGTAATGGTCGCCTTCTGCTAGAGTTTTGTGTGGAGTAGTAGCTTACCATCACCAACACTATCTTTCAGCAGAAAGATAGTTTGAAGACAACCTGGATGCATCCTAGATCCAAGCACTGGCACCTCATTGATTATATCTTGGTCCGACAGAGAGATATCCACAATGTTTGTCACACCCACGTGATGCCTAGTGCAGAATGTCAAACGGATCATTGCCTCGTGTGCTGTAAACTTAACCTCCACCTTAAGTTCAAACCTAAAAAGGGCGGCATTCCTAGAAGGAGACTTCAAGTTAACAATCTTCAAACAGCTACAGTGAGAGACAGTTTCCAGGCAAATCTTCAGTCCAGGTTCGAAGTTCATTCCACAGATCCCTCTCCTGAAGCGCTTTGGCAAATTATTAAAAATAGCGTTCTGCAGTCCTCTGAAGAATCCTTAGGGTTCTCCTTCAAGAAAAACAAGGACTGGTTTGATGAAAACAATCATAAGATCCTGGAATTGCTGAGAAAGAAGAGTATTGCTCACCAAGTTCAGCTTGCTCAGCCATCTTGTCCTATAAGAAAAGCAGCCTTTCGACTTGCATGTAGCAAGCTCCAATAGAAACTTCGTCTCATCCAGAACAAGTGGTGGACCAATCTAGCGGAAAAAATCCAATTATGAGCAGATACAAGTGACTATAGAGGATTCTATGAGGCTCTGAAAACAGCCTATGGTCCTACACACCAGGTTCAAAGCCCTTTACTCAGTGCAAATGGCCAAATGCTTCTCACAGATAAAGTTTCCATCTTGAATTGATGGTCTGAACACTTTCAGACTCTCTTCAGTACTAGCTGTGTAGTTCAAGACTCAGCAATGCAGTACATTTCACAACAACCCGTGAAAACTGAACTGGATACTGCCCCCACCATGGGAGAAACTCTTAAAGCAATACAGCAGGTGAAAATTGGTAAGGAAGCTAGGGTTGATGGAATCCCACCTGAAATCTGGAAGCACGGTGGCCAAGCACTCCGTGCTAAGTTTCACAAATTTGTGGTGCATTGTTGGGAACGAGGTGAACTGCCTTCAGACCTTCATGACACTGTCATCGTCACCTTGTACAAGAGGAAAGGAGATAAATCAGACTGCTTAAATTACCAAGGTATTACTCTGCTCTCCATTGCTGGTAAAATACCAATAGCAGCTGCTACTATAATTCTTTCTGTATCTTCAAAGAAAGAAAAGACATTCACAGGTGTTTGAGAAGTCTTATGTAGTATTACCTTATGTGGTCTCCTGCAAAGGTGCATACTTTTTTAATAATAAATATTTTATGAAAGGATAAAATCTTTTCTTCTGGCTAAGCTTTTCGTGAGTAGAAAAAGAAGAAAAAATTCTGAATACCCTTTGGTTCCAGTAGCTTTTTGTATGTAAGCAGAAGACATTAGCAGATTTAAAGAAAAAAAACCATGCTTATTCTAAAGTTATCCTAGTTATTCTGAAGTTATTCTTATTCTAGTCTAATTCTAAAGTTATTCTTTATTTCACCATGCCAAAATGCAGATGGAATGAGGCTACACAATATATGAAGAGCAGAGAAATCTCAAAATCCTTGTATCTCAGAGTCTGATGAGACTCTGCTTCCCTCTCACAGCATCATCAGAGAATATTTTAATTTCCTTCAACAGGCCATGAAAATCAATATGGTTCTTTCAACTTTATTTTCCAAATTTAAGCACTGAAACTTTTGGTTAGGCATCTTATTCCTGGTTTTCAGAAAAGGCAGTGGTGACAATCAAAGTTGCTTGGTTTGGCTTTTAATGAAAGATTCCCTTGGGCTGGCCAAGTTACATGTCTTTCTGTACATATGTAACACTTTCCCTGCCATGTGCCTGGACCTCCCATGCACAATCACTACCCTGAATGTGCATTTCTCTGAAGTGGTGGATTTATTGTACGAGTGTGAGATCTACCCCTTGCTGAAAACAACATCAGTGAAGCTTTATATGAATGGAAGTGCAGAAGCTCACTCCTCTGATATGAGATGATATGAAATGGGTTGGTACCATCAGCTCAAAACCCATGGTCTTAGATGGGAATGCATGGTGGACATAATCAGAACAATCTCTCTGGACTGGAACTCCTTCTCAAGGGTAAAAGAGGTTTGGTTGGCCACGGCAATAGGCCAGATGAAGTACCCTCATGTTCCAAATCCAACTTTGGAGCTCTCACTTTAACACTCTTTTTCTTCATAATTGATGGATAATTGACCTGTTGGCCTTCATCTTTTATTGACGTTACATGCTTCCCTCTGTTGCCATTATGTTCCGTCTGCAAAACTGTACAAGTTAAAAAGCAAATTTATTTGGATAATTCTTTTTATTTTTGAGATATCCTTGTAAAATGAAATGCAGATATACAAATGGAAAGCTGTAAAAAGTATCCAGAATAAATTCGTGAGGGAAATAAGACATCCCAGGTGCAGCACTAGAGAAATATGCAAAGTGTACTGGCATACTGTATGCAAAGTATACTTTGATTTACTGCCTGCACAACTTATAGCAGTAGGGACTTTAGCATAACTTTTAAAAGGCTTAATAAACCTTTTGCATGAAAAAAACCCACACACTATCCTTTACACTGCTCTGGCACCATCCATCTTCTTAATGTGTGGATTTTACTAACTTCTCTAAGGATATGATATCATCATCAATATTCCTTGGTTCATTTAAAAACTATTCAGCATGTTATGCACTGGGAAATTTCAAAATATTTTCCTTAATATATGTATAACAAAACAGTGCATCTATTTTTAAATATATTGCTAAATAAAGCATATATTGCTATATACTAAATGGCAATAGACAAATAGCTGCTGATTTCTCTCATCTGAAGTTGTTAATACTAAACATTTCTTATACTGTTATGGCTCTCTATTTACAGCAGACTCTACATATTTATTATATTTATGACACTATATTTCCTCTTTAGTCACATAAATTCTTTTCCTAGAAAACTACATACCTATTTAATATTTTAACAGTATGGGTTAGGTTGGAAGGGATGTCTTGAGAACAACTAGATGCGTTTCATGTTTTTCCATTTGTGTCCACTGCCTCTTGTGCTGGCAGTGAGCAGCACTCAGAAGAGTATGGCTCCCTCTTTTTCATTTGCTTCCACCAAGTGTTGTAGTAGTTAGGATGGCGACAAAATAAAAACCAGGTACCTTTATGATGATGGTCCGACAGTCAGCTCTATTGCTTCGTCCAGTCTAATAATTTCTTGTTCTCACACATACTGCACTCACACACCGCGAACAGAACCTTACATACCTTTCTATTATTAGCTCCCTATCTATAATTTATTACTGGTCTTCATACATAGCTGGATATTTACCCCTTATTTACATTCTTCTTTCACTGGTCAGTTCTGGCACCTTTTCAAGTCTTTCACGGTCCCTGTGAATTCCTCAGGGAAACTGCTTCAAGGTGTCTAAGTCAAAATCCTTCACCTCTATATCCTTCATCAGGGGTTCTGCGGAACCAACGCCTACCCCAACAACCAAGCATTTTTACACATTGTATATTAAGTATTTAAAGGCTACAAATAATACTGGTAATATTTAACTTAAATGTCTGTAATTTAAATATGTTGAAAAGTTTTGCAAATATATTTTAGGAAGGATCTTTATTCTCCTTTTGTGTTCTCTTGGTAGTATACTTCTGCAGCAAATCTGTTAAATATCTTTCTTTAAATTTAAAAAGCCCTAAAAAAATGTAACAGTAATTCTCTATTGGTGAAACACATCTCATCTATGCATCAAATCCAAGGGAATAAACATTAAGAAAATTATATGAGAACAGCTTGAAACTCTGTACACCAACCAGGCAGGATGCTGAGAGTGCTCAGGCTGCAGCTTTCCATTTTCCATTTTCTCTGCAGTGCAGTCAGTGGAGGGATAGAAAGTCTCTATCCCTGCCCACCAGCAGCTGTGCAGTGAATCACTCTGGGGCAATTGGTTTGTCTGAAAAATTACTCCTTTCAACTCAAATGAGGTCTGATTTACCTCAGTCATTTCCTCAAACTGGTCTGCCATCAAATTATACAAAGTTATGTCTGTGAAAAAGAAGAGTCTGTGCACAACCAGGAATAGAAGGTGGGCAGTTCTACTGATCTATGTGGAATCACACTGCATGCCTAACCTGTCATCACAACAGCACTCACAACAGTTTAAAGAGGATCTCTACAAGATCTCTGCAGCATGTAAAATGAAACAAACACTCCTGCATGGCTGAGTAATTTCCATTACTTTGTGACCTATCTTTGCACAGTTTCAAATGCTATAAATGACTTAGCTCCAGATACCATAGTGCAATTTTATTAATGGTACTTGAATCTACCATTTAAGCTCTGGACATACTGACTCATGCTGTTTCAGATATTTCATCTGCAGCACTACTTACCCTCTTCTATTCCTATACCTCATATGATACCAAACATTCCCTATTCACCATGTTTTCCTACTGGTAAAAGTAGGAAATAGAGATGAGGGTGTAAGAAGCCAGAAAGGGAGAACTTAAGATTAGTCAAGAGGATTCTGTAGTCCTACCAGTCTTTATTTTCACTTCTGTCTAAATTAAAGACATAAAATAAAAAAAAGACCATTTCTTGTGTGCCATTAAGTTAGTAATCTTAAAAATACTTCTCTGGTAGGATAGTTTGAAAAATGTTTATTTTGTTTGGAGTTTGTTTAGGAACAGGAAACAAAACAGATATAAAATATCAGCATCTCACTTTTAAAATCAAAAGTTTAACAGTATGCATCCCAAATAGTTTCTTGAACTGAAGAGAGCCTGCATGAAATGGACCTAGGAGGAATTAAATAGCGAAAATCTCACAGTGGATTAACATCACCAAAATTTGTTCTGCATGCATGCAGGATGGAAAACTACAAATATTATCCTATATTATAAAAACTTTCCTTTTTATACCTGTTTGGAAAAATACTCTGGCAACTGTAGTGTGACACAGTGGACATGGAGTGCTGGCTGGATTGTCTTTGGCAAGCATCCTTCAGTCAGTTTCACAAAAGGTGTGGTGACATAGATAGCACATGTAAGGATTGAAATAAATACTGCACAGAGATAGCTTTTTTTATCTCTTCTGAATTCCTGCTCATCACCTTTATGCAGGTTACCATTTCCAGTCTGAAAGAAGAAAGAGAAAACATCTTTTCACACTCAGCACATAACTATTTTTGATAAACCACTTGGCAGGAAGGTGACTTTAAATAATGCTTAAGAAGTTGGTACACACAGGTGATATTCTTAAATTTTAATACAGTTTACTTTTAACAAGATGATGAAACATACTGGTAAGACAGGAATGTCAGAACAAGTTCTGTGTAGGAAAGGAGAACAAAAATCATACGAGACAGTAAAAGAAGGAAATAATAAAACCAAAAAGGCTGCATAAAACTGTACTATGATCAGATTTCTTCTTTTAAGATGAATTTTAGCAATTTATATATAACTGTATTACCAAAATCATAGAATCATAGAATGGTTTGGGTTGGCAGTGACCAAGATCATCTAGTTCCACACCCCTCGCCATGTGCAGGGACACCTTTCACTAGACCAGGTTGCTCAGAGCTTCATCCAGCCTGGCCTTGAACAATTCCATGGATGGGGCATCCACAACTTCTGGGAACAACCTGTTGCAGTATCTTACCACTCTCACAGTAAAGAATTTTCTCCTAGTATCTAATCCAAACCTGTCCTCTTTCAGCTTGAAGCCATTCCTCCTTGTCCTTTCACTACATATTCTTGTATAAAGTTCCCTTCCATCTTTCTTGTAGGCCTCCTTCAGATAATAGAAGGATGTGATTAGGTCACCCTGAAGCCTTCTCTTTGCCAGTCTAACAAAACAGTTATCTCAGCCTTTACTTGTAGGAGCGGTGCTCCATGCCTCTAATTTCTGGCCCTCCTCTAGACTTGCTCCAACAGGTTGATGTTGTCTATGTTGAGGACCCCAGAGCTGGATGCAGCACTGCAGGTGGGGTCTCACCAGAGCAGAGCAGAGGGGCAGAATCCCCTCCCTCACCCTGCTGGTCACTCTCCTTTTGATGCAGCCCAGGATACAATTGGTTTTCTGGACTGCAAGTGCACATTGCTGTGTCAGGTCCAACCTCTCATCAACCAGAGCCCTCAAGTTCTTCTCAGCAGGGCTGTTCTCAATCTGTTCATCCCCCCACCTGTAGTGATACCAGGGGTTGCCCTGACCCAGGTGCAGCACATTGCACTTGGTCTTATTAAACCTTACAGGACTCCTGTAGGCCCACTTCTTGAGCTTGTCCAGGTTCCTCTGGATGGCATCCTGCCTTTCAGGTGTGAAAATACCTTTATTTTGCCAAGAAAGGCAACACAAAACATAAAAATCTCTAAAAATAAACTGTGGACTGTTCTGCCTTTGAAAAGTAATTTGTGAAGGGCATGTTCCAGCAATAACCCACCACTCCCTCCAGCTCAGAAACAGCAAGAATAATGACTTGCAGTTTGAAACAAGTCCCAAATTTATTACTGCAATGTACAATATAAACCTTAGAGTACAAAGTCTAGGAATCCCTAACACCTCTGGTAAAGTAACTGCTTGTTTTTGTCAGAACACATGCTTCAGATTTCCTTGCACTGATATGTTTCTAGGAAGACATCACTGGACTTCCCAAATGGTGCACTTACCATATGAATGTAACAACTTGTGTATATTGCCAAGTTTCTGCTTTTCTTTTGTAAGACAACTAAACCTTTCCATATAATCTGATGATCTAATATCAAAGGCACCCAGTCATGGTTTACAAATGGTATTCCTCGTTTTAGTGCTCCCAATGAGACCCTTCAGACCACATGCCACTCACTTGTTCCCCTTGTCCCTTCCCCCCTCCAGCAGGCTGGAGAAGAAATTGGAGGCACAAAAGGTAAAGACCAATTTACTGGAAATTGCAATAAGATAAGAAAATGAACAGTAACAGCAACAATACTAATGACAGAGGATACAAGAAAATTAGGTTATTGCTTACCTTGAAAACCCCAGAAAAAAGACAATACTCCACCACTCCCTCCAGTTCAGAACCAGAACTACCTGAACGCTCTGTCTGGCTTGGAGGTGCCATGATTATTTGACTGGAATCTCCTTGGAAGAGACTCCCTTTCTGCCACGCCCAGCAATGATGTGAGGTGGTATAGATACCCTCCAGATCTGAGCCATGCCGCCTGGATACTGCAAAAATTAACCCTGACCTGGCCGAAACCAGGACATCGACTTAAAGGGAAAAAATAAAATTATCTTTATGGAAGCCACTCAAGAGACATTTACTTTATCTCCTCTATCCATCTTCTCTGTTTCTGTTTTTTTTCTGGTTTTCTGAACAGATTAATACCCACTATAGCAGAAGAACTTCTACCTGAAAGCCAATGTGGTTTCTGAGCTAATAGGAGCACCACAGACATGGTATTTGTTCTCAGAAAACTGCAAGAGAAGTGTAGGGAACAGAACAAAGGACTCTATGTAACCTTTGCTGATCTCACCAAAGCTTTCGACACTGTGAGCAGAAAAGGTCTGTGGCAGATTTTGGAACGTTTAGGATGTCCCCCCAACTTCCTTAAAATGATCATCTCGCTTCATGAGGACCAGCGCGGTTAAGTCAGATATGGCGATGCACTTTCTGAGCCCTTTCCAATAGCCAATGGTGTGAAGCAAGGCTGTGTTCTCGCACCAACTTTATTCACAATCTTCTTCAACATGATGCTCCAAAGGGCCACGGCAGACCTTGATGAAGAAAACCGTATCTACATCTGATATCGTACTGATGGGAGCCTTTTCAACCTAAGGCGACTGAAGGCCCACACTAAGACCTTAAATCATCTCGTCTGTGAGCTGCTTTACGCCGACGCCGCCACCCTTGTTGCCCACACAGAAGCAGCTCTGCAGCATTTAACATCTTGCTTTGCAGAGGCTGCTGAGCTTTTTGGACTGCAAGTCAGCTTGAAGAAGACAGAAGTTTTCTATCAGCCTGCACCTCAGGAAGTCTCCCATCATCCCCATATCATCATTGGCAAATCAGAGCTCAAATTAGTTCAGCAATTTAATTACCTGGGAAGCATCATCTCCTGAGATGGTAAGATTGATGCAGAAATAGACAACAGGTTAGCAAAGGCATACAGAGCTTTCAGTAAACTCCATAAAAGAGTTTGGCGCAACAAACACCTGAAAAAAGTACAAAGATCAGTGTTTACGGAGCCGTTGTACTGTCTACTCTTTTATATGGATCTGAATCATGGGTCATTTACCACCATCACTTGCGTCTCCCAGAACGCTTCCATTAACGTTGCCTCCGTACAATCCTAAACATCCACTGGACTGACTATGTGACCAACACATCTGTCCTTGAACAGGCAGCAGTCACGAGCATTGAGGCCATGCTGCTGAGAACACAGCTGCGCTGGGCAGGGCACGTCTCCAGGATGCAGGACTGCTGCCTCCCTAAGATCGTGCTCTATGGGGAACTTGCCACTGGCTGCCGCAAGAGAGGAGCCCCGAAGAGGAGATAAAAGGACTCCCCGGAGCAATCCCTCAGCCTTGGCCATATTGATCACCACCATTGGTCTGCCCTGGCCTCCAATCGGGAGGCCTGGAGACACACCATCTATAACGCTGCTGCTGCTTTTGAGAACACACGCAGGATCACTCTTGAGGAGAAAAGACAACGCAGAAAGAATCGCGTCTCGTCGATATCACCTGGGGAGTCTTTCTGCTGTGCCTTCTGCAACCGGACTTGTCTATCTCGCATTGGCCTTTTTAGCCATCAGTGCTCTTGTAGCAAGCGTGAGTAGAGCCCTTCTCAAATCTTCGTTTGCGAAGCCTAGCCATGATGATGAATGATGCATTTCTATCCAATAAATACTATTCAGTGCTAGGGCAGCTGCATTATTTGAATCTGATTTGCATCTAATATATTATATATGTAATATTTTATATATATATTTATATATATAAAGCATTAGCTATATATTACACAGGCTGCTTTTGACACTCAAAAGCCATGGCAGACCACCACTGCCTGAAACTAGTACCAAATATTCATCATAATTGTTATTTTGTGCTTAGGACTCTCTAGATGTTTCAAAGATGATAACATGTATGGCTTACTGGTTTGTATTTCTGTGTCTCTCTATACTCTCAAATACTCTGAACAAGTATCTCTCTCTGCGTAAGACATCAAGCTCTGAAAATAATTTATAAGTCCTAACAGTGCTTTCAGGGTACTGTGGAATGCATTAAAAATACAGAGCAGTAGCATTTAGCCAGAACTGCAAAGTTCTGGATAAGCACTTGTGCTGACATTCTATTTCAGCTTTTGCATTGCACTTTCCAGGATACCAAGTGCTAAGAAGTTTATAAATTCTGATCTGTGACACAAAAACATGGAGATAGTTTGTGTTTAGCACTGTGTCCAAATGCAAGCTTTTGTCCAACCATAAATGTCAGTAACTGTGTGTTTATTACCTCAGCATTTATTACTCCAGCTTGATTTTCTCCATGCCAGATTTGAGATGGGCCCAGGAAACTTCAACATGTTACTAGAGAGGCAACTCAGCTGTACTGACAAGCAGCCAGCATAGATCTGTCTGGAGCTAATATCTATAGGAGCTAGTCCCAGATAGTGACAGCTGGGACTATTACTTCTGGCTCTGTGCTGTAGGAAAGACTGTTAGAGCAGCATTGTATTACAACTGTCAGTAAAAGTGTTTAACCCAAACTGTCTCTATGCTTACAGCACAGACAACCCACACCAGAACAGAATGGCAAAGTTGTTGGTGGAGGGGCTCAGGAGACATATGAATATGACCTATAAGATCTTCAATATGTCTGTTTTATTACAAGAGCTCAGTTTTTTTATAGTTTCTCTATACAAGGTCTCGTGACCAGACACACATAATTGGTTACAAGTTACTGTACAGATGTAAACATACATTACAAATACACATATAATTGGCTTATACCAGGTATCCAGGCAGAATAAGGTAGTTATTTACTTTAACAAATCCCACCTTCTTCTTGGCACAGATTTCCTTTTGTTCTAGCTAGGAAACTTGCAGCCATCTTGGCACCTTCAACTTACAATATCTATAAAGCTACATTAAAGCAAAGT